GTCAAGTGATGACTTACAGTAGATGGTCATTAGTTATTCGCGCGAGGAATACTCCCACACAAATGTGTCAATTCATTTGAATAAAGCATTGTCTGAGAAGATGAAGAATTGGGATAGTCTTTCACGAATATTCTTAATTCCTTGAGTGAATTGCCTTTTGCTTTAACAAAAGACCCGTTTCCTGATCACCGATTTCAGTCAGTACACGTTATTTTCGTGAGATTTTCGTGGTCAAAGACCTCGAGTTAGTCCAGCTATTCAAAAAAGTGACAGAAGTTCATAGCTATACGACAGAACTCCCCATCCTTTGAGGCCCAGTGATATAGTTGATGTTGCCACAAAAGATGCAAACTGGGATTTGAGACTCCGGAGCTCACATCGTGTCACTTCACACGATTAGAGTAAATAAGGGGCTAGGTGCTATGCAACTAGTATTACAAAAGAGCCATTTCTGGATTGAAATATCATAGGCCAAAACCCTTTTTTTTTGAGAAAATCCTTTTAGGACAGGCATTACTGACCATCTAGGTGGAATCCTTACTAGCACTTAGTAGGGGATGGATGCCGCTGGTGGGGTGTAGGATGAAGCTTGATTAGATGAATTACGCTAGTCTTTCCTTTCATAGAGATTTACAACCAACAATGTTGGCTTTTCATTTTGGCTAACTAGCTAGCCGCTTTTTTATGCATGCGTCATCCAGACAATAGTCGGCGCGGTAAGAAGCGAGACAGCGTTTACTCGTTGACAACAGCCCACCCATTGCTGACAGTTGTTATCAAGACTAAAATAATTAGTGTTTTATGTGTTCATCGGCCATTCCCTCGGTAGTCACATTTGGTTTACAGTTTGTTCTCTATCAGGTACATTAAGCCGGCTCTGCTAAATTGAAACTGAGCCAAGAGCCACATTCCAAAAGTTACTACACTGATGCTTCTATTTTCAAAAAAAGACCTATATTATGGCTAACATGAGTTTTAAATGAAGCAAAGCTTCAAGGGCCCGTAATGTCTTAACCAGCGAAAAGAACATTCAGTATGGTCCTATATCTGAGAGAAAATAGTCCACGTTTAAAAGCGTTCTGAGAACCTGACACATTTTCTAGTACCGCCATCCTGGCTATCTTAGATTGTTATGTACCAGCTGAAAAACCGGTGAATAAAACAGTCACCACTTTTCTGTGTTAAACATCTTAAATTAGGGCACGGGTGTAGAAGGGTCACCTCGCGTTTCTTGGAGGGACAGCCCATTTTAAAAGTTTTCACGCTGTTGTAATTACCAGTTTTGAACTCAGAAGACAAATTAACAACGAGACGTCATATGCTTGTGAATATAAACAAAAAACGCAAAAGGTAAATGTCTACAAGAAGATGCCACCTGGCAGTAATGCAGTGATGCTGAATAGACATCAACCACTGAAAAAGTGAAGCAGTTAACTAAAAACTAACAGGCATGGATCGGTCACCACTAAGCCGTTATTGGATAGACTGCCCTCTGCGCGATCATGTAGCGCAGCAATACCAGCATGTTTGTGCTAGTTTGACTGTTCTGTTTCCATCAAACTCACTAAATAATGCCGGACAGTTAACATCACTGCGCACTCTCAGTCGTTGTGATATCATTTCAAGGAGATATAATGCGATCAGACCAGTTCTAAAGATCAAGAACTTGTCTCTTCTCAGGGCGAATTTCTCATAAACAACTGCCTTAGGAGGTACACAGTTGTACTTCGCTGCTTGCGGCGGTGAGCTAGGGAAGCTCCCACCGCGAGGTGCGTCCGACTCTCGAATAGTTTGTATTAGCGCAGCTGCTCTAAAAAGAGAGATTCGACTGCTGAATTATAGCTCAGACGACCGAGAGGCATTAAAGGGTTAAAATAGTGCTATTTACCATGCTTCAGTTGGCTTTTCACGGAGGTACAGAGGCTATAGACCCCAGAGGCGTACAGTGATTGTATTCAGGGCAGTGAAAGGTTGACAAATCGACAAAGCCTTTCTTAGCAAATCTGGGTTGGCCGATCGAGGGAGATTACAGGAACCCGTATACATTTTCTGCTTGTCTGAATCGTGATAGGATAGGAACATGGAGTTAGATTTGCAGTGGCGAGTTATGTGAGCAGAAGAATGTCGCTGAACCGGGTTCCATTAACTGCAGGATAATGAATACCTGGCTTCTATAGTATAGAGGACTTCTTCAAGGTAAAACGGCTTCCAGAGAGGGATTACGAGTTAAATTGTACAAAGTCGGTGGATTGATATGACTTGATATGATTTGTATAGAATGATATGGTTTCCGACTCTACTAACATATATAGAATGTTGAAAATGTCCCAAAGGAGCTCACATATAAAACAGTCAAACCTGTAGTTACAGGAAAGTTGGATCGCGAGAAAATGGAATCAGTCTTCTCTCCACTTCAAATGAAGCCGTTGCGTTAATCCTGCTCAACCGCTGAACGCGGATATTCGGGAGTAAATGAACCCTAATGAACAATGCGGGTTTTGAAGCCAGTGGAAAACAGGTGATTTTACCTCTATAGTGATTCGGTCACAAGAAATGTTCTGGAGAGGAACCGATCCTCATACCTACTATTCTTGGATCTCCCAAAAAGTTCTCGAATCGCTGAACAGATGAGCGCTGGGAAACAAAATAGAGGGCTTTACAAACTGACTTCCAATGTTATCAGATTTTTCTATTCTTGTATAAAGTAGAACCGGCTCTACTGAGTCCGCAATTTGTACGACGGTGAATCCCGGTTGTGTTCTGATTCGGACATTGTCTAATCTCTCTAACTACATGCGCAAAAGCGTTACATGATTTCGAATATGGCCTTTCAATTCAGTACCGTTTAGATGGTCATCCCTTTGCCTCGAAACCCTCCACGACCAAAATGCAGCTGCGTTAACTAAACATCCGTATGTTGTATTTTTTAGTGACTGCGTTTTGTTTTCTAGCGCGGAGGCGAAATTGCAGCCATTAACCTCATAATTTCCCTCACTAATTAATCACGTTTGAGCACATTGGACAACAAATATCCTGCTATTAGAGCAATAACATTTTCACGAAATGAAAATCAATACAGCACTGTGGTAATGGGCTACTAAGACAACCGTATAAATGCGTCTTGAGAAAAATTTTGAAAGCGAACACGAAGATCGTTGTGTACCTAGCTACCTTTACTGCACTACTGTAATTCAGTTGGGCGTGAACATTGTGCTGACGATATATTAGAATTTCCGACAAATTTCACGTAAAATATCTTCTCAGCATACCTCAAGTTCACTGGTATAGTGAAACCTCAAAACTGAAGTTCTCAAACGAGTCAAGGTTTCCTGAATGGAGTGCGCGGTACCACACCACCATCCACGTTGGATAGATCATGCGAAAAAGGGCCCGTGACCAGTTCCCACCAAAGCTCATTTCCGGTCAACTAAAGAATTGAGGTGAAACTCTATTGTAGAAATGTTCATGCAATTTTGGGAAACTACAACCTGGGTTCCGGGTATTGGGAAGGTCCAATACATGACGAAGCGGGCTACTGAACTGCCCTCTACACGAGTGTGAAGTGCTGTGATGCACAACGCGCTTCAATGCTCGAGCGCAGTAGTGTTGTTCGAGACGATGGTACAGCGTCGAGCACAACCACAGGCGTTTGGATGTATGAAACGCCGATGCACACGCCCGAGCACAATCAGGTTTACTCATCATCGACCTACTCATGATATAAAGCGCCAGTGAGTTGCTTGGTTAAGTTAACCAAATTCCCAGTCAGAAACTGCCAAACACAAACCTGTCCGATTTTTAAACAATATCTGCTTGACTCTCTCGTTACGGCATGAAATAAAATTACCATAGCCATCTGATTACTGGCGTATCTCCTGGATATTCACTTTGGCCCGAATGGCGCTTTAATGGATATTCATCAAGAGGCCTTGTCACAGTACTGAATTCGGGGAAAATGTGACATCCTGATACAAAGCAGAGGCATTGATGAATAAAGCCAGCGCCTTAATGTAAAAAAAAAATTGAAGCTGACGCTCATTATTGTACCATTATGTCTAGACCGGCTGACGTGCTTGCCCATCGATCGTCTTCATTCGGGTTCACATCGACATCACCCAAACCGCTCGTAGCTTACCTACTATGCACAGGCGTCCAGTGAATCCATCACTGTGAACAATTGGATTCGTTCCGGATACCTAGACAATCAATATCATAAGCACAATTATAATAAACATTATTGTGGCTTTTTGCATCATCATATGAGCTAGGAGGCACCCCCGATTCCGGTGTTTATGCAGTAAACAATAAGTGGCTAATCAATTTTGAGTCAGATACCGATAAGCTGATGGGTTTTAGGAGCACTATGATGAATATCCAGTTGGACAAATGAAGTATGTATGTTGTCAAAAGATATATGAAGAGCTGATTCATTAGCTGTGACACTGAGTGAAGGCCTTGAGTTCACCATGACAGAAACACTATCTACCGATCAAGTTTCAGACATCAGCTTATGAGCGTGCCAGCTAACCCATAATTTCCAAATTACGTGGCTTACTAGTATGGGATATATAGAAAAAACCCTTCACCCACCGCAGAAGTACCATTTTCTCTCCCGAAACTCTTGCAATCAAGAAAAGGATTGTGGTTTATCTCGGCCCCTGAAACTAAGCCTCCAGCATGTAAGGTCTAGAACTGAAGCTCTGGTGGCAGCATACAGGACGGTCTTGATGCTGAAAAATGTTGCGGATGAAAGCACACACTTGTGTAACTTTTGTGACTCAAATGAAAACACCGCAACGTAAGAATAACAGCCTGTAAATCAGTATCATTATCCGTGTTGACGCTTATTGAATAAACAGTAATTCAAGCGAAACAATTCCACATTTAATACTCAAAGCATTTACCTTGAATAGCAACCTTTTTGTCTCTGTATGCCAGGAAAATTTTCCAGTTTCTAGTGTTTGTTTTCAAAACCGTTTTCAATTTCTTGTTTTCCTCAGACTATGGGTACAATGTCATGACGATTGACAAGCTCCGAGTGGCTCAATGGGTTTTGGAACAACAGCTGGAAGTACAGGAAAAAGATTTGAATGAACACGATCAAAGAAAAGACAATTACTACACGGATAATCAAGGATCAAAGAGGATGAAAGAGAGATGTGCCGTCTTCATTGAGGAACAAAATATCCAAAATGCTCTGAAACATACGACCGTTTCTCGGCCTCAAACAGAAAGCGCTTGCGTTTGTAGAGGTGACCTGACTAATGGAGGCATTGAGCTATCCCCCCATTCCATAATGCCTCAATTTCATAAAATGGAAGGACGTGCAGAGACAAAAATCAATCCTAACATCCAGCCAAAGGTTCGTTTGCGTCGACGCCGTCGTGTATCGCGGAGAAATCCAGAGCAACTCTGTTCTTTCTGTCACAACTACGGTCAACTTGACAACTTGCATGATAACAACGTCATTGGCTCGCCTCCCTGTCCCGTTATTGTAGGAAGCGATTTGACAAACCACCGGTTAGCACCAAAAGGGATAATTCCAATGCATGACTCGACGATAAACACGTCAAATCAAGATAGAAATTTTCGGGAAGGGCATAGCGACCAAAAGAACGGCCAGGTTGACTCGATCAAAGGTATTTCACATCAAGTGAACGATGTTCATCATACAAAACAAGAGCTATCTAGGAACGAAAGTAGTATTGATGACAAACTAAAAGTAAAACCGGACAACACATTGACAGCTCGAACGAATTCAAACGGTCAAACCGAGAGACCGGTCTGCAGCAGCAATCCTCTGGACTTTAATTTCATCACAAAAGATAAAGTGTGGAGAGAAATAGCACCCGGCCAAATATTTACCAACATCTTTGATTTGACTGAAAAAAAGGAAGAAAGCTGTGACAGATTCAGGTTACATTGTGATGATCACGTAAGTAGAAATTTTGAATTTCACCGTACTTTTACTCGAACGGATAGCCACATACCTAACTCAAACGACTTCTTTCAGAGTTGTGTTAAATGTGTTGTGTTTACAATCAATAAGATATAAGATACATATAATATGCATTTGTAAAGTGTATAACACGTGTGTAACCTGTGAAAAATAATTCGGTTATTAGTGCTTCGCGTACCATGAGAATATGAATTCTCAGTAAAGTCACGCACGGGTTACGATGAACATGCATTTGTGACTAAGAAATCCACGAATTATTTTCTTGCAAAAGAAAAAGTTTTTTCAATTATTTTCCGAACCACAGGTAACGACGTCCTTTCAGTGTTGTAGCCCTTACCCTTTCCAGCATATTGAAGCTTTGAAGTAGGAATATGCCCTCAGAAATCTGCAACTAGCTGTTGGAAGGCAGCCCCAGAAGTTCAGACCAAGAGGACCTTAATTTAACCTAACAAATACACAGCTCTTGACTTGACAAACTCAGGCAACTGTCACGCCTGAAATACCCGTCCACCGACCAGCTTTCGCAGTTAGTGAATTCCTTTCAAGGTGTGATTCTTCGTCCAGCCAGCCATTGACTAATTAGATAATCATTTGATTATTGAGTAGATATCAGCGATTGAGCATAATCACAATCAGACAACACTTTCCATCTCTTCTCCAGTACTTGGTTGATTCGTCGAATTATTCTCTGAGCTCAGAAATTCCGTTGCAAACGTTCTATCATCAGTCGAGATAACGTCATCAGTGGGTAATTGGATAGCGACGCATTGGCGTGTGGGCACAAGCTAAATTGGATAAACCTAGGGTTAAACACACCATTGAGAATAAGGGGGGAATGGGACATGAGACTCAATGCAGATCATACTTAGCATATTTTTAATTGGCAAAGTAGTTTTTAAATACACTGAAGAATGAAGCTACATAAGTCGAGAAGTAGTGATATCTCGAAGTACTCGCTTCAGCCGCAGATCTAAACAAAGCATTCGGTATTTGGGAGTGACAAACCCAGTAACAATGAGGTTAATACATAAGGCAGTACAGTAGTTCGGAAGTAGTGATTTATATTCCTTTCCAGTGTAGTTTGACAGTCTGAATCAATAGTTTTTGTGCTCACACTTTAGCTCTGCTCTGAGCAAAATCACGGTCGGCAGGTGGGCTGTCTCATAGACGTGCTTTGCAGTCAGTGACCTCTAGGTCAACCTATTCGTTAGTGATGTTGAGTCTTCATGAAAATATACTGCGATATCTCGAATATCGTATTATATTCAGTTAACGAGTGTCATAAACGAGAGATTCACTTGAGTTTTTCGTGAAAACCAAATTAATTTGCAAATGGGTTTGTTTGTTGAAAGCAGTCCAATTAGGGTTCAAGTGGACCATAAAGTTGACGGAAACTCAGAACTACACTAACATGATGAGTCAAAAGAGGGGCACAACCGGACGTCGACAGTCAAAGGGTTTTCAGCAACCTTGTGAGTAGTATCCTTAATGGATTTAGATTTTTCAACTTGTGGATACCGAACCTCCAATGTTGTTTGTCGGTGTGAATGTAATAAACTAAGATGTCCTTCGACAGACGTATCAATCCATTGAGAGAGACTGGCTGATGTAATTTTATAGCCTTCTAAGTGTTCTTCGACGGGTTTAACCAAGCACCAGAAGAAAAGCGTTGATTGTTTTTCTGGTAGGAATCAATCCATCTGCAAGGCGTGGCAGTTAGCTCACAAGCATATCGTCATTAAGCAAAGAGACATTAATTTGCGGTTGAGTGGATAGCAAATCCGATGGGCTGTGCGTGTCCGGCACTCCGTTCGCAGCAACTTTCTTTTGTCGATTAACTTCAATCGAAAAGTAACCATAACTAATATCTCGTCAGCTGTGCAGGTCATCCAGGTGGGTTTCATAGCACTTTGAGTTTTTTTCGCAATAACAGCAGTTCGTCGTACAGATTTTTCAGGTAGTCGGCGTCAAATGTGAAAGAGTAATGCTTTCTGACTATTGGTAATGCAAGTGGCATGTTTCTGGCAAGTTATCAAGAGTCCTCCACCTTTAGGCCTATCCCACAAGACAATGATGACCAATCTAAGCACTGAACTCTCTATTTTGTAAAATAATTCGACCGTACATAGCGATCATACATGGTCACCGAGTGATTGGCAAGTTATGTTCTTAGGATCCACCTTTTCTTACGCGCCTTCTCTTGGGGGAAGACAGGATCGCTTATTTCAGAAGAATGAAGTTGCTGGCTGACCGATAGAAAAACAATGCATTTCCGCCTTCATCCGAATTCACCCCCAGACTGCATGCAAAACGATTTACAGCAATATTTGTTCTGGCTATCCTTCACTTGGATGTTCTTCATTAGTATATCAGGAATCAGTGAGGTTAAAGGAAACGAGTCCTAGTCATTGTAGTGCAAAAGACCACTGCAGCACTAGAACCTGGATATCACACCAAGATGACGGCTTCTGGCAGGGCAAGAAGTCGAAATCCCATAATGTGGAGTGTAAGAAGAATCAGGATATCTTGCCTCTTGAAATTTGGGCCATGAAGATGAAGAATCTCTTGCACAAGGGTCAGAGGCATAGGTCTAAATGGCTAACTACCCTGGCCGAAAAATAACTCAAGTTCCACAGGATGAACTTTGTCGCACCTAGTGAAACCTGACTGGCTAATCCAGGGAAGCAAATTGGAGAAGGACCGCAGCAACATTTTGAAATGAAGTAGAAAAACACAAGACAATAGGGTCGAATTCGGAGTTGCAAATCAAATGAACCAAACTGTATCAACTCAGAGATGATGGGCAAATTTTGTTGTATCTATCAACCCCCATGCGCTCAAAGTGTCAGACTCAGAAGAAGGCGATAACAAATTATACTAATAACTGTCGGACTTGATTATCTCTGGTAACAGTGTTTTCCTGTTGGATGCTTTCAATGCCTAGGTTAGCAAGTACTCGGAAACCTGGAGGAGAACAATGAGCCCATTTGGAATCGAATGGTAGAAGACTAAGGACGATGTCTGCGGCATTGGAACTTTCAATAACAAACACATGGTTTAGTGTCGGCCCCAACAGAGCCTGTCACATGGACTGATCTAAGACGAGAGCACAAACACCCACAAAACCGCAACACTGCGGAGAACAAAGAGGGCTAGGAATTGTACTGCGGCAAAAATTATGGGTCCATCTGACTGAAATGTGGACCATTTCTCGATGCTCGTAGCTTGGAAAACTGCCACCACATGGCTCAGGAGGGAACACACTCAAGTTGGATGTGAAGAAACTGGAGAATTACAAAAATGAATAGAAAATTCGCCAAACTCTAACGCGAAGGTTGACGAATAACCAAATCCCAAAGGGATCCAAAAGTCATTGGGACCCATAAAGGAGCACACGGTTAAGCAGTTTGTCCACAGCAAGACAAAATACGGGATTAGTTTAAGGAGATCAAAACTCTGAGGCACCGAAGAGAAACAAGAAGTATGAGTGGCGGGTCAAATGAAGTGTGTGGATTATCGTTGTCACTAAGACATTTATGCTGGAATGAAAGAGATCTCTGGACTGAGAGTTATTCGGCTGGTAGTGAACAAACAAGCAGGTTCGACTGAATTCCGCTAGCAAGGATACATCACTCTTCGGGATTATGCAACTGGACGTGGGATATGGATTCAAACTTTATATCTCACTTTCATAAAATCAAGACTTAATCGACTAACTTGTTTACAACCACGAAATCACAGCTGCAACAAGGAAGAGCAGTCAGAATGGGCCGCTCACCTGCGAAGCCATTCAAGCTAAGAAGTTCGACGCTGCATAACGCAATTCTCAGCCAGCTGTAGGTAATCTAGGAGATGAGATATAGTCCACTTCAAGGATGTTGCAGCAATTGACCACTATATGGGGAAGGGAGTCGACTGGAGGGAACTACAGCGAAACCAGTCTCCTATGCATACCAGTCAAGAGTATAGTTCCTTTACCACTCACTCGACCAGTAGCTGGCATTCTCGAGAGCGACGTTCATGAAGAGCAGTAAGAATTTCGGAGTGTTCGACGTAAGGCTTAGTTGAGGGTTGCCGTAGTGTTGTGGACATGACTTCAACGGAGCCTTTGACTTGGACAAAACAAAAGTGCAGTGGATATTCTTAAAAAATCGCGGCTGACAGGGGAAACCCGTCAATCTTATCAAAGTCTTCCAGGCACGTAGGAAAGCTCGGTTGCGGACCTGCGAAACAATCTCTGGGGAGTTCGAACTCAGCATCATAGTGAGCCGGAGTTGTTTTTGCAGAACAGCCTTGTCCATCCGCTACTGAAGGACCATCAGCGCAGAGGCGTCTTGCCATTTCAAAGGTGGTATAACAATTAAATATTGTGTGGATAGTTATTTACAGGGGTTGAAACGCCTGTTGATTAAAACGCAAGCCAAAACTATACACGCAGCTGCCTGGGGACAAGCGCGCTTTAATTCCGCACCCTGAAGAGGAATTACAGCGGTTCGGTGGTCGCTCGCCTTAGCTTTAAACGTTTCTAAAGCCAGAGGAATGGCCCATCAGCTGGTCTGGTGCGAACACTGCCACACATTGTACATGAGCATTTGAAGTCCACGTTTACTCACTACACTCCTGCCTAATGGATCGACAGTTATTGTCCGTCACTGCCGCCAGTCGGTCTTACTAGAATATCCGTAAGGTCACATATGTACCTAGAGTTGTCAGAGAACTTGCCTGCAAAGTGAGAGACGAAGGGTTCCCGTCCCATCCGAGGACTCAATTTACTCGTTTGTACCACTGTTCAGGATTTCCCGAATCCCTCTCGGTGCAACACCAACTGGCTCAACGTCGGGCTTTCTAGTTCTTCTTGAAGAGAGCAGTAATATGTATCTTCAAAAGCCTCATTACTTTAGTTTATTTGCGAGACTGGCGGTATCCCGCGGAAATTTCAAGAAAATGACACCAGCGCTTTGATGTAAAAGAATT